GAGCCAAGCCAGCCACCCCTCGTACCCCAAAAATAATTGCGCGTTTCGTGGTCTCTTGATCCGCGCGTAAAAGTAATCCAAACATCGCATAAAAATTATGTTTACGAGTTTCGAATGGGCGCAGGGGTCGACCCTGCAGGGTAGACGACACTGCACCACACACCGAAAATGTATCAACAGTCTCTCTCTCCTCTCATCTAGATAGGGATCTCTTTCTAGGAATTTCTCGGATTGTTTAGAACTCGCATGCGAAGTATCAGAATGGGCGCGGGAGTTACGAGGTGATCGTCCGTACTTTTACGAAGTGTTCTTTTATCTTGTGATGGTGGTATCTATTTAATCGGCAATTATTTACAGTGATTTTAGATAGATGGTAATTGCTAATATAAAACTAGATTATTGTGGATTACATTAAAATGAAAGTCACGAATAATAAAAGCAATAATAAAAGCAACTTTGTCTTGAGTCGCGATTATTTACCGTGTATCAATAAATCAATACTTATCTTAATATTCTACAAATATAAATATCGATAAGTATTAATATTTGTGTCCTTGTAAAGACACAAATTGAACAAGAAGGAATAGTGAAAAATAGAGACTCACCTGTTTTCTCTTTAATTTCACACAAAACTGAAAACAGGGCTGGCTTCATTCTGTGACAGTTTAAAGTATGTTTTCTGGAAAAAGAAAAAAAAAGATAATAATAATAATAATGATAATAAATTATATTCGATTAAAAGTTTATTAGATATTATATTGTACAATATCTATTTTAGCGAGATGGATTTTAAAATACTATGACGTTTTAGCAAACTTATATCGGAACTTAATCGTATACTAATAGTGTGAAGATAAACTCTTATCGCATATTTGGAAGTCTATATACAATTTGTCATCTAGTACATATATATTCGTCATTTAATAGTTTATCAAGTTATAAAATGATAAAGAGACATTATAAAAATAATCATCACATTTTAAAATCGTCACATAAGATTCAAAATAACGAACATAACCTGTACTCATGATTATTTTTTATATTTAGCAAATATTTTAATGACTTAGAAAAAAAAAAAAAAACTTAAATATATTTCCATAGGATTAATATTCCAATATAATAAGAAAATATTTAAAAAAGCAAAAAGTGATATAAAATAATTATAAAAGTAACGATAAAATTTAAAATATTCAAAAAAAATGGCGGCTGAATCAGGAACGGGACCAACCTCGCTTGTGCCTCGTCCAAGCTTTGATCGGTGATATTCATAATTTGTTGCAAAATCTCACTGATATCCTGTTTTCTAGCCTCAACAGCCTGATCCGGACCTTGTGTTGCAGTTCCATCCACAGGTCCCATACTACCATATCCGGCAGTATTTTGGGCCCCCTGACCCTGATTTCCTCCCATCAGACCCACACCTGATCCTCCGTGTTGCAGCATTCTGCTAGTTTCATCCATCAACTGTAGACTACAGCACTAAGAATATTATTCGTCGCCGTTTCTTTCCTTCTTTTTTGTTTCCGTCGCAAGAGTGAATTTGTTCACACAACACTCGCGGATGTATATCGTATACCAGATGATGCGGAAAAACACGACTGTACAAACAAACGTCCCGTTCTTTCACTTTATGATTGATAAAAACTTAATCATGATAAAAAAAAAATAACAAAGGGCATTGAGAATGAAATAAACAGCAAGAAAAGAGGGAAGAACAAAAAGCAAGAGAAGAAAAGAGGAAAAAAGGGAGCGAGAACAAGTTAAAATGATACGTAAGAGACAAAGGCCATAGCAATGGAAGAAAGAATTAGATGCCGAAATAATTCGGATATCGTTAACCACTACAGTAGAAAAATATTGTAACAATCTTTTCTGTTCTCGCCACTAAAGAACGTTATGCCAAACATTTTCTTGCGAATCCTCGTGAATTCATCCATTTTATACATATAGAACGTTAATTTAATTTTATAATAGTAATGTCTAAATCATGAGCCTACTAGAAAGCCTGATGGTTCACTAACAGGCTCAGGATGAAACGTTCTCTTCTTTCTTTTTTTCTTTTCCGACCTTCCGCTCACGTTGCCAGCGCCACAATGATGATTCCTGTATCTCGAGGAAAATATGTTTCACGCACGTGCTTTATCTCTCTCTCTCTCTCTTTCTCTCTCACTTGTGCGACATTTCATATGGAAGCCAGAGAAGATAATAATGCACTTGCAAAAATATCATTTTACACGAATAATGTATCGAAATCCTCGAAAAAACGAAACAATTCATAAGAATAAGAAATCCCTATAATACGCCGTACGCTTGACTTGGAGGTTATGCCGCCGTGGCCTTTGTCTCTTACGTATCGTTTGGCGTTTTAACTTGCTCTTGCTCCTCTTTCCCGGCCTCATTCCCTCTCTTTCTCTCGCTTGCTTATTCGCTTGTTCACTCTTTCACTTTTTCTTTTTGCTCTTTTCTTGCTGTTTCTATCTCTCTCGATGCCCTTCGTTTTTATTCCTGCTTGCCTTTTGTTCATTACCTTTCTCACTATTATATATTTCCTTCCTTGTTCAAGAACACTCACATTACGTCTAATAACAGTTTCTAGTTTGCTATACACACTATAGAGATGATGAAAATGGTGCCTTCGGCAGCTTTAAACTTGACGGATTGTCGGATTTTACGTATACGTGGTTATGTCGACGGTCGGCGTCGCGCCCGGCCCGCACTCTCCTTTCACTTGTTCTTTCCTCTGCTCAGCAAGGATACTTGTATAAGCTGAGGAAAATCGGCGTTCTTCGAGCCATCCGCGCACGGACGTCACACACCAACTCTCCGCCTTACAAGGCAACGCGCGGACCGACCGTTTCTGTCGCTCTTTTCACTCTTCTCGGCCGCGAGCGACTGCTACGCTCCTGATACACGCACGTGTTCGTGCGTTCGTGTATACATCAAAGCTTGGTGTGCGTACATGCGTGCGCCAATCGGCGGCCATAATAGCCGCCTCGACCAATCAGAATGGCTGATTCATTTCCTTCTTTTTCTACCTAAAGCCTTTTCCTCACTTGCTCTTGTATGTTATTATCCGCGTGCGCATCCATTTTATTTATGATGCGATTTCACCGCTTTTCCTAATCCTGTTCGCTTAACCTGTATCCGTGAACTTCAAATTTTTACAAAGCTTCATAAAAATACCTTGAAACTGATCCTTTGGAATATTATTCCAAAATATTATATCAAAAATATATGTTTTCGTAAAACAACGTTTTTTACCTCGTATTCCAACAGGCGCAAACTCCGCCCATTACTTCAACTTCTTTTTTTTTTCATCACCACTAATATTTAATCATGAACATTTACAATATTATTATATACAATTTTATAAAAAAAATTAAACAAAACTAAAAAATTTGATCGAACTTTTGTCTTATTGAATACCGTACAAATAAAATGAAGGTACTTCGTACTTGGAAATGTAAATTATGAAGACGAGAATGCGCAAGTCCATTGTAAAAATATGGCTACGTAGTCGGCCATTTTTATAAAGCGGGAAGACTCGAATATTAAAATATAATATTTAATCATATTTATATTTATATATTTTTAACATTATTATTAAAATTCAAAATATATTTTTTTTTATTATTCTTTAATAAATATTTTATATATGAATATGTACAAATTATAAATTTAAAGGTTACAAAATGTACATCCATATACGTTTCTATGTAGAATGTATTATTCTATGTTCGGTTTTATTCTCAAAATTTATAGATTGTATACAAGTTAGTTCAAATTTTAAAACGTGCACGAATAATACAATTGTGCTTTATAATATATTTATATAGTATTACGTATTTTGAGATTATTTTGAGATTAATATATAAAAATTAACACAATATTTTTTAATATATAAGTTTAAATAGTGTATACGTGTAGAAAAAAGATTATCGTATTCAAATTACTTTATACTTTAAATCATTGCTTATTATTTATTGTATATATATTTTAAAAATAAGAATGGATTATGAAAAATATTACGATCGGAGAGGAGATGGAAGTTATGTTATACATTTTCCTAATAACAAAGGATTAACTATGAAAGAGGTTAACACTATATTTTCCTCGTTTGGTAAAGTTTTATCCGCAGATGATCGTGGTCAACCTAATGGATTATGTTTTGTAAAATTAGAAACGGCTGAAGATGCAAAACAATGTATTGAAGCTTTTAAGAATCATAAATTTATTAAAATTTTACCACACATAACTAAAAAATTTGTTAATGTAAAAAGAAAATCATACAATGAAAATAAGAAAGCATTTAAACAAAATTTTACTGTAAATAATTCAGATAACAACATCAAAAACAACAATATCAATAGCAATGATTTATATGTAAAAAAGATTCAAGAAAAATGCAATCAGTCTGATTCTAATATATCAGAATCAATATCTATGAAAGATAATTTTAATGATGATATAAAAATTGAAGAAAATAAAAAATCTACATCAATATCATCCTTAAGGCACCTTTTAAAACTTAAAAATTTACGAAAAGCTGCATCAAGTACTTCAATTTCATCAGAAGCTACTAATGAAAATTTGAATAGATTGGAAGAAATTCCGTTTAATGAAACGGAAATTCCATCATTGATATCTATTGACAAAAAATATAAATCACACAATATTAAAGTTCCTTCATCATCAACAAAGGTTATTCCGACACAAGAAGTAATTGTAGCTAATATACATCCAAATATAAGTATACATTATATATTACATCTTTTTGAAAAATATAATCCAATATCAGTATCACTTATGATGACAACACCAAATACTAGAATATTATATTGTCATGTTTATTTCAAAACATATGAAGAAGCATATTCAACAATGAAAGAATTTGATAAATATTCTCTACATGGAAAATATCTTATTGTTTTGACATCTGAGAAATTGATAGAAGAAGCGCTTTAATGATGAACATATATATATATATTTTTTTTTTTTTATTTTACGATTAATTACTTAATAAATATTGAAATAAATTTACAATATTATTTTTGTATTATACAAATATATGTGAATTATTATTTTTTTTGATATTTCTTTAGCATTCATAACTAATAATAATTTTTTAAATCACATTAAATCACGAAACAATATCAATATATAATATATGAAATATTAATAATTTTTGTATGCTTGCATAAAAATATTCTTTACAATTTAAGTTATTCATTATTTGTATAATTCACAAATGTAAATAATTTATTTACAATGATGTTATTTTTTGTATAAAATTTACAAAATTTATGTATTTTTTTACAATAAAAATTTTATAATATATATTTATGAATAATTAATTTATTTTAATTTAAATTTTTTTAAAATAAAATTTATATTTTTTGTACCTTATAATAAACAGAAATGTATAAAATTATTTTTGATAAATTTGTAAAATCCTATATTTGAGTTTGCGCATTAGATTGTAATTTCTAACCTATATAGTTTTTAAAAGTTAAGAGTGTGTTTGTAGCTTGTAGTTTATTTCGTGATATTAAATTTATATTCTAACATAACGTACGTGTGTTTTCTAGAAGTATGCAGTTAAAAATGTCAAATTCATTTGATAAAAATTATGTGAAGCAATTATTGCTACAAGAAAATGAATTTATTTTGAATATATTTACTAAAATGCCATTGCCTATGTCTGAGCTAGGTATAAATATAAAAATAATATAATCTTATAAATATTTATAAAATTTGCAATAATAATAAAAAATAAATTTTTTTTAGTTTCAGATGAGAAAGATAAATTAGTGACATATAATAAAAAAAAAATATCAGGAGGTTTTTATTACTTTTAAAAAATAAATAATCTAATTTACCTAATTAAGCTTGCTTTAAATTTTCTGTTTTTTATTTTTTTATAGACAATATCTTTCCAAATTTAATTGGAAAAGCAAAAAGAGCACATACATTTGAAGAATTGCATGCTAAATTGGAAGGATTAAAGAATGTTAAACGATTAGGATATAAAGAAAAGCAATTAAAAAAGAATTTGAAAACTAAAATAAAAAAGATGTCAAAGAAAAAAGAACGAATAATGCAAAAAAATTTAGTAAAAATAGAACAAAACGTAGCCGATTTATCTAAAATCAAAAAAGAAGATAATGAAATACCAAAGATTCCACGACCAAAACCAGTGTTTAATTCAGAAGGTAAGATGGTATTTAGCAAATTTGATTTTTCTGAAATTGGAACAAAAAAAAAACCACCTAAGAAAGATGCAAAAAAAATGCTACTCGAGGTGAAACAAAAACAAGAAAAGTTAAAAGAAATGGAACAATTAGGTGAGAAGGAAAAAGTAGAAGAAATTAAAGAAAAAGATACATGGAAGTCTGTTTTAGCAAAAGCTAGTGGTGAAAAGGTAACAAAGAAATACTTGAATAAATAATTATTAAAATATTTAATATTATGTCTATACATATATTTTCGATAGGTGAAAAATGATCCAGATTTACTTAAAAAAACATTGAAAAGAAAAGATGATAAAAAAAAACGGAGTGCTAAAAAATGGGAATCTAGATTAGAAAATGTACAGAAAGGAATTCGAGAAAGGCAAGAAAAACGACAAGATAATATTATGAAAAGAAAGAAAGAAAAGAAGATAAATAAATTAAAAAAAGCAGCCAAAAAGGGACGAATAATACCTGGATTTTAAATATGACATAAAAAATTATATATAAATCACTTTCAATTTTATTTCCATAATTTGATTAATTTTTTATATCGAAGGCAGTCAAAAATATGCATAAATATTATTTGCATAATCATTAGAACAATTTTTTACTAATATATAATGTTATTCGCGTCAGAATACAATAGAATTATTTTTACATAAATCAGATTTTATTATACATAATTATCTTATTTATGTGATATATCTACATTGTTATTTAATAATAATAATATGAAAATTAATTTTAATATGTATGTATGTAATATGTTATAACATGAATTTCATAAAAATTGAATGTAGTGTTATACAGACAATATGATGGTTTTTAAGCATTTATTTACACATTATAATTTGTATTTGTATTTGTACATTATATTAACAAATCTTTATTTACACTAATATAACACAGTGTACATTATTAGGAATTTTTCATGATGTAAAAAGCGATCTGTCAATAGAATGTTGCACAATTTATCAGTATAAAATTTACTCATTAATTTTGAATAAGTATGTGTGCAAAATTTCTTTGTAAAGATAAGATTTCTATTATATAATTGTCTCTTTATACTTAATATTATTTAATATTGCGGCACTTTTTATGATAAATTTTATAATTTCTCAGTTTTTTGAAATTAAATGAGATCAATCTCATACTTTTTGCTAATTTCACAAAATGTTTATTTTATTATAAGTTTTTTAGTAGATTATAGGTAAATCAAGAACGAGAGCTTCGATGTAACCGCCCTCTTCAACTTCCTGCTAGGTATCTCCAAGAGCTGAAGATACAGCGTTAGCGTGTGTTAATGCTGTCCATAAAGGGCTATGGTCTACTGGTACTGGTACCGATTTCGATGGTCGAGGAGACCTGCAAATAATAATAAACAATTTTTATTTTCATATCTTTTTTTCATATAAATAATTTATGATACATAATATATATTCAAAAGATAACTTGAAACAAAGATATCGTATCAATAATGTAGAAACTTTAAAAATTTTCTGAAGACAAATCAATGAAGAACAAACTTTATTGTTAGTGATTTTATCATAAAAAATATATATAATTCTTTTTTCTCTCGTTTAGTTTATAGAAATAAAAATGAAATGTTTTTATTATAATATATAATATATATAAAGAATAAGAATCTTACCTAGGCGGTACCAAAACTGAATGCTAATCCGGACTACTCAGTTCCAATGCAGTACTTTGTTCAGGATCCGATCGTTCTTCGACCACCGTGTCTAGTTCTAATGATGGGAAAGCTCTAGATCCTCGATCACTTCGTAACGAAACTGCTCTTGTTGGACGATCAATTCCAGCTATCACACAAATGTGAATATTATTATACTGTGATATTAATAAAAGTTTTTGATTGCATGGAAAATTTCATCTACCGAGTAAATATAATCTTCTGTAAAAATAAAAGCGCATTAAATTAAATAATGGTAAGAGTTAATGTTTATTAAATGCATTCTAATATTAAAATTGCGTAATTTGAACTGTTAATTTGAATTACATATTTATTAAAATAGAGTTTTTATAAGAAATGCTAAACATACGTTATAGGCTTGTGCAGCAAATCGTTTAAAATCATGCGATTATGATAATGTTATGATAGTATATAAGTGTACATGCGTTTGGATGGAAGATAAAAATGTAGCCAAGCTGTATATATCTTTGCATAAAATCACTGAATTTTTATTATTTTTATGATTTTGTTAATTGCGTTGAAGCTGTTGTGAGATAATATCCATAATAAAATATTATTCAAATGCACTTTAAGTGGCAGATCTTAATTGTAACTAAATAATTTCACAATTATTTTTTTCATTTTCATTCGTGTCTAATTTTTAGCATAATCTCAATTAAATTCCATGTTAAATATGCAGCAATACTAGCGGCAACGGCAAATGATTATGCATTATATAAAAAAAATATTGGTTGCTCCATATACATATATATAATTCTAAAATCTCTAGAGAAGTTAAACAACAATTAGACTAATAAAGAATTTTACCTAAATCCTCTTTAGATGCTGCACTTGACGGGATAATAAAAGGAGGAATATTTCAATTTAACAAATTTTGAAAAAAATTAATTGACTAAAATATTGCAGTTAATCTTATGATTTTTATTATTTATATAAAATAGTAAATATTTTTTTTTCATATTCTTGTCTGAGATCTGTTTTAATTGAAATTTTAATTTTTGTCTCCTATTTATTATAATAATAAATAATTACAATATGTAATGAAATCGTTCATTTGTCACATTTTAAAATTAAATTAAATAACAAAAACATGATTTATTACATTAGAATCGCATTTAGTCAATTACATTTTAGATGAGACATAGAATAGATATGAGACATAGAATAATATATAGTGTCTTTTCATTAATGTCTCATTATTTTTATATTGAAAATTTTTAAGTATAAAATTTAAAGAAATTATTAAATTCTTATGTATGTCAAATTTTAAATAAATTAATTTTAAATTATTTCAGATTTTTTTTAAGGACAACAGAATATACCTAGTTTTTTTTTATACGATATTTTTTTACATGATTAACTTTTGCACAGTTTTTTACGTGTATAAAAAGAGATTTGAGTGTATATATTATCTTAAGATATAGAAGATTCTCAAAGTTTAAAAACATGTTCCATACGATATTAAATTCTTAATAGATAGATAAATTCAATAGATAGTTAAATTAGATCTCATTATGTAAATCATTTTCAATTAGAATTAGCAGCGTAATTAAATAGATAATTCATAGGAAAATAATTAAATAGATTGTTGGAGTGTATGCATAAGATATACAAATTAAGTGAGTAAAGTAATATACATAATTAAACAATTAATTTGCATAATTCTTCGCTTGCTTATTATTATTATTTTTTAATGTTTTATAAATTCTTTATGTTTTATAAAGAATAATTTCTTTAATATTTTATTATTCTTTTATGTCTTATAAATATGAATTATTTTTATATAATTGTACAGCATTTTTTAATATAAATTTTACTTTTAAATTTAATTTTTCTCATCGATATTCTTTTACAACTTTTTTTTTCAATAAAACGAAAAGAATTTATTTGAAACTCGTGATTGAGATAAGTTTTCAATATGCAACAACCATTCTCACAATAAAACTTTAGAAATCAATATTATACAACTGTAATCAATACGAATATGAAATTTACAATTGCATGTCAAATATACATAATATGTATAATTATATGTACATAATAAACTTTAGGATTATATTTTTGCTTAGGAGATTTATTATTAAGTAGATGATGAGATTTTTATTTGAAAAATTATGAAGTATAAGTATAGATTATAGATTTTAAAAAAAATGATGTTCATAATTACTTTAAATTTTAAATTACCAACATCTTCGAAAATAAATGATTAAAATTTTTATTGACTATAATAATATGAATTTTTTCGAGCTCGATATTTACAATACATGACAAGAAAACCCATAAATCATTACGTCATAAATCATAAGTTTATTCTCTATCTCGTCTTATATGCAAATCAAATTTTTTTTATATACATACATACATATATATTGTATAAATTAAAAAAAAAAAATATTGGATTAATAATTCAAATAGAACGGGCAATTAAAAGTTATGAAAAACCAATAAAAGTCTATTCTATTTTGATCATTTAATTTCTCTTCGAAACTTTGTTATAGATTAAACGTTTTCATTAGGATAAAAAAAATGGTGTGAACATGAACACATCTGCATTTGAAGTATCTTAAAATCTGTGCATGAACTGAAATATTCAGGGTACCATTCAATCTGGTTTAATGCCTCTTCCGTTCTCTTTATATTTATACATATATATATATATATTCTAGGCTGTTCATCCATATGTCTGAATATGCATATGTATATGTACACGTACACTTCGTTTAGTAAAGTATATGAGTGTGAATACATACATATATATATGTACGCAAGTATATATTTGAATATACATGTGTAAGTACAGTGCAGCGTTTCTAGGTGAAAAAGCGAGCGGAAGTAGCGGTTTGGGGTTGAACACAAATGTTTTGTGACCTCAATCCGTTTTTGTTGTACAAAACGTAGGAAAACATGGCTTTTAAGTTTATATGTTTAAGACTTAATATTAAATCTTAAATCTAATGTAGTGTGTTAATATGATGAAATAATTTAAATTGCATCTTTTTTTTAGATAACATGTATTAAAATAAAAAATAAAAGAAGAAGATGTTTAATTTACCTAAACGGTGAACAGGGCTAAAACGAACGAGACTAAGGGCTCCATGATCTAGATCACAATTTCTTCTTCGTGCACGTTCTCTCGCTAACTTTGCTCTTCTTCTTAAGCAACAGATGACCATAAGGGCCAGTAATGGAAATCCGAGTATGCATGATACTATCGGGATGATAATGCTCTCTGGAGTTACTGGAAAAAATAAATTTTAATTTAATATTGATAATTAATATTAATTTCATATCACGTTTATGATAATTAAGTCTTGATGAAAACTTTTCATTCAAGCCTTTTATTTCAGAAATAGTATTGAAATATTATACATATAGAAGAAACTAAGAAATTAAGAAGTAAAATATTCAGGAGATTTGATATTTTTGAAACCAATTGTAAGTTATTTTTGATGAAGGAATATTATTCTCATTATCCATTTTATTTTTATAGATTTTATTCAATAAACAAAGGAAATTAGGAATGAAAGATATACTTTACCATTTCATAAGCTGTGTTTAATATTCAACCAAATATGTAAGAACAAGCATTTCTGCCATCCATATAAGCTTTTTACAAACATATTATATTGAAATGAATAATTACTGAACGAAATTTACATTTTTAACACATGAATATTAATATATGTATATAGTATTAACGATTACTGCATACATATTAGAAAATTGAAGCAACTGTTATCAATCTTTGTAAAACGACATACTGACTTTCAAGCCAAAGAAAATATTTTATTCAGCACAATGAAAAAAGGGGATAATATAACTTATAATCTTGTAAATCATAATTTATTATATTATATTTAAGATAATATCATTTCGTGCAATAATTCAAACTATAAATTACAGTATTAATAATATTAAAATATATTTTTATCGTTTATTAGATACATATTGCTTAGCTACATTGTTTCATTTTTCATTATTTTCAGAATCTTTAGATTGAAACTATTTTTGATTACTTTAAGCATAATGAAATACCTTAAGCATAAGTTTGATTACTTCTTTAAGCATAATGAAGATTCTTTTTATCACAGAAGTTTTTTAATCAGACTATCATCAGGTTGACAAAAATAAATTTAATCCACTCTTTTTTTTATATATCTTGATAAATTATATTTTATAAATTATTATTTTAAATTAACATTATTTTTAATATAGAAACGAATGATACTTTATTTATTAGTAAAAATGTTACTGATAATTCTTATTTAATGATGTATTTTACATACATAACAATACAACCAATAAGACAGACTTGCTAAGGAAGAAATATTGAGGGAGAAATAGAATTTTTTAAATCTTTTAATTTCTTACAAAAATTCCTTTATTATAATTTACAATATTTCAATATTTCAATTCTAAACATTTTCTGGTAACATTTCATTTTTATTCCGTTTGAATAATGATGAAATAAAATTACATCTGTAATTGGAAATATAAATGCACGAATTTTAAATATTTTAAATTTCACTTTACTCATGAAGAATAATGAATTTTGTTTTCCATGAAACATTTAAGCAATCTCACCTGTGGGATAAACAAAAATCGTTGGTCTCTTGGATTGTGGAATTGTTGGCATTGTTGGTCGACCCCCCTTCACTTCGACCGACATTTTGCTCTCGATCTGGAATAAAATTAATTCCCGGAAGTCATTAACGAGTTAATCAGAGCTCTGATATTATAAAAGAAAAGTTTTGTATATCGATTTTATTTTTCTCCATTTATTATCCACCACTCATACTATTATTCGTCTTGCTCTATTAAAAATGAAAAATTAAAGCAGCCTTTACGTTCCTTGATCTTTTAATTCCTCCCTAGTTCTCATTCAGTTTCTACCAGTAAAATAAGCCGAGAAAATGAACGCAGCACGAGTCTAGAAACATCAAATTCCAGACTCTTTTGCTTTGAAATTTTTTCCAATAATTACACATCTTCGTCTCTTGTTCCTTTTTTCGCACTATACAAATATATATATATAAAAACTGTTTCACGATGAACCATTATATTAGCAATAAATTCTATAATTATATATAATTATAAGTCGAAAAAAAAGATTTATTCTTTTTTTCTTATTTTTTATTGTACTACCACATACTACAATCTACCACTATATCGTACTTAAGACAAGAAGATATTTATGTTCTATAAAAATGAAAATTGCAACGAGATAAGAGATTCGTGAACTTACATAAGAGTTTCCCTTTTAATGGCTCGAGAAGAAAGGGCTATTTCGCTTCCTTTATCTTCCACTTCTCTTCTCCTCATTCTTTCTCATGCTCGAAAAAAAAGGCAACATGTATCGATGATGATGCGAATATCGAAAAGGGACTAAGAAAGTTCTCTCCTGCGTGCACAGTTTTTTATAGTTTCTTCCTTTTTAAGTTCTCTCTTTTATCTTTTTCATATTATTTCTTTTCACTTTGTACTACTAAAAAAAAAAAAAAAAATTAAATTATTTTCTTCGAAGTTAACCCTTCTATTCCTTTCTAACAATTAATCACTCTTTACAAAGTTTTAGTTTTCCTATATTTAAAGTTTCCAGAAAATCGAAAATATTAATATATAAAAATACGAATTAATTAAATTATGCGACAAAGAGAGAAAATAATTGCTTATAAGTATCCTATTCCAAATGTTAAAATATCGACGATACTATGTATATATGTATACGAATATTCTATTTAAATTTAATCATAATTAACCAGCAACGCGTATTCGCGCGTTTAATTAATTCTCTCCGTACAACGATACTATCAACACATTTTCGCAGCAGCGGACGAATCAGTTTAATTAACGATCGAGATGACAGGAGAGAGGAATTTTTTCCCCAATCTGCACCAGATTTTTTTTCTTTTAGACTTCATTCCTCCGCCGGTTGGCGGAGAATATCGCCGCTATAAATTGTCCCACATACACGAATTCGGTTGAAAGCGACGGATGGTCGAGGACCACGGCCTCCTGGGAGGGTCTGAAACCCGATAGAAGGATCTTGGCAATTGTATCTCAAAGAACCAGAGTTCCGAAAATAGCAAACAATTTTCCCCATTTGAGACGAGCCACTCTTCCCTTTTCACTTCCTTTTTTTTTTCTTTTTTTTTTTTCACGACTAACTCGTCCATCAAAGAGCATCAAGACGAAGGTAACCTGACCTATTTTTGAATTCGCCTTTCATCTGTTGCTGCACATTTAAGCTTGTATCACGCATAGATGGATATTTTACGATAATTTTTAAATATAGTTTTTTACAATTTTTGTAAAATAAAATACAAAGCCTTTCTCAATTATCAAAATATAACTCGCTGGATCGCAAGGATTGAAATATTTCCGAATGAGATAATTTCCAATAATAAATTTCATCGCCAGATAAATTGTAACAATCAGTTACAAGTCGTTACAACTTCGTTAAAAGTTAACTTCGAAGAAACGTATTGTCCTATTAGTTTCAAGATTCAAAGAAACATAACTTCCGGTTGAGCGCGGGACTCGTTGACTCGAGGAGGAAGGAGGGCTCATCGAGGTCGAAACTTTTGGAATTTCTCCAATAACCCTCTTACACCCTTCCCCTCGTTCATGGATCCTCGTGATCACACGATCTTGCTACGATTCACCTGGTTGAAAAATTCCAAAAGATCGAAATCGGTTTCTCGATGAACGAGATTTTCTAGGCCGCCATTCCTCTTTGCGATTTTTCGAATTATCTAATTTACATATTTCTTCAACTTGTTCTCTTCAAGTTTTTCTTTCTTCTTCCTTCTGGCTTAAAAGCTGCTAACTTTCAGGAGGATATCCCCTCCCTCCTCTATATGAGATCTCCTCTCTAAATTTCGAAGAACGGTTTATCCTCGCAACGCGAATCTTGCTTCCTTCACAACGATGTTGCAAATGTGCAAAAACGTATGCTCGCTTCAGCAGAAGACGTTCCATTTGCATTATCTTTGAATTAGCCTTATCGTCGCTGTTGCACCGTGCTCGTCCTGCATTTTGCAACCGAGCTCGCGTCGGTTAATTTGGCGAATTTGCAGAATTCATTTCGGAGGAAATCAAGGAGGTTCGAGTTACAGCATTGAAATTAACGAGCTTATTAATCGAATAATTATTCGAAATTGAAATTTGTCTTATTTTGGATTTTATTAATTTTAAATCGTAGTATCAATAAATTATTTGAATATTGATATTCAATTTATTTCTCTAAAATCGCTCGTTTAAAAGCTGAATATGTTCGAAATAAATTGTTTATTGGTGAAAATCTTGTAAATGAATTATATTAAACGAGGCAATCATCGATATACATTGATCAAAGTTTCGAACATCATTGAATTTTTTTCATTTATTCTAAAAAATACTTTCTTTCTCTTTAATTCTTTTTAATACTTACCATTGAAACATGAAAGGAAATGCTGAGTGAATAAACGGAAAATAATTTACCCCTTCAATAATTCCACTTTAAAAATTCATTTTCCACTTTATTTCAAATGATTCTTATTTTCAAATACAATTTTTCCCAATTTCGATAAGATTGAAATCAGATTATCGTTTACATATATAATTATTGATTACTCACATATCATCCAATTATTATTACTAATGAAACGATTGAATGAATTTTGCTCTTAATCAGTGGATCATCTCGTTTTAACGAGATCCTTGTTGCAACACCATGGAACCGTACAACATTCGAAATACCCTATATTTCCCTAGCTTCTAACGAATTTCCAAACTCAATACGCACGTGCGTGGTCACAACACATCGCGAAGCTTGTTTCGATTTTCTCTGGACCGTGTAACGCGGCTCGTCCGTCGTGTAATTCCGAATAATTCAAGCGGATTGTTGGTCAAAGGATTACACCGAGTGAAATCGCGACGCGTTAAAGCTGAAAAGTCCATCGATACCGCGGCCAGGATTAAAAGATACCAGGATGGATATTTGGAGTATCGTTTTTTAACTTCTAAACGATCGGTGCTGATTGCGAGGCCGCAGGAAAAGCGTGATCAGGACGAGGATTATGGATTTTATGATTGAAAAGATCAGAATGATCATGTTTTGGTAATGAATGAGTGAAAAAAAAAAAAACAGATAATTTCTAAGACGAGGCGAAGTGTTTCAAAGTTTCTTTT